CATGCATCATGCCACAACACCAACCTTTTTTTAAATAGCTTTACACATAACCACTATTTGTAATAAAAGATCGTTATTACCTTTCAATGTTATTAACCCACAGTCCAAGTTTCGAGTTTCGCTGGTGCACAAACATAGCGTTCTGGTGAGTTTGGGTTGCGTATGAAACGAACGAGTGATCAACATCTTTAGTGAGATTGACGAACAGACTGACTGTGAAACTTGTCAGTTGATGCGGCATTTTGGCCAACAAAACATAATCAGATGCACTTTGTCTGGGAAAGTCGATATCGAAGTCTATTGAATAAAGTATAATAATTGATATTAGAAAAACATTTTGAACGTTTACCCTATTCAAACCGAGCTTTGTTGGCCTAATAGGCCTAATAGCTCGTGTCTGCTAACTCTTTCCTTGTTATTAGCCACAGCAATGACGATATGTGACGTACTAGTGATGTCATATAGATTGGAAAACAGCTTAAACTTTCAATAACACTATTACCGGTGCTAAATATAATAATTATAGTAATTCAAGAACAACATTATAAACCTGCTATGTAGTCTTGACAACGTTGTCCAGTAAAGTCCGGTAAACATTGACACTGGTATCTTTGGTGTGGATCATCAATAACTGGCCGACATGTTCCTCCATTCAAACACAAATCAGACGTACAGGAAGACTAGAAATTGAATAATAACAAAAGATAAAACATCCTTGAATCAAATATAATTAACTATACATTTTATAACCATTTATCGGTCTCCTCTATTTTTTCCATTCCAATAGCTAACGAATCTTCTAACCTCTGGACCATAGTAGTAGTAGCCGTGCATTGGTACAACAGAGTCGGGCCTAGACTGCCGTGTCTGGTTGTTTAGCTCACACACAGGTATCCCATCACCTCTGTTACTTTTATAGTTAAATGACAAACAACGCTGTTCTCTGGAACAATCCATAAAACAATCGATGTCACTGGAGGTTTCAGCAGACTGGATCACATGACCAACGAGAGCTTCTTCTATCACGAGGAAGGAAAAACATGACAATTCTTTAATGTCACAAGTTGAAAGATATCATTTGTTGACCGAATATGCAAGTGCTATATAAACAACCATTTCTTACAAGTATCAATGTCAGCTATTGCAAGCAAGACTAATGCCATAATTGTAAACAATAATTTTTCTTTACTCTTATTGAATGAAAGTGAGAGGAATAAGAAAAAGTGATGAAATTAAAAAAAAGGAAAGGAAGGAAGGAAGGAAGGAAGGAAGGAAGGAAGGAAGGAAGAAAGCTGCAATACCTTGAGCACTTATTTGGAATATTTTCTTGATGTTTTCGGTGTTTACTGTGACAAAGAGAAGCGAAGTGACAACCACATGAATACCACACCAAAACAGCACACTTCTCATGGTTTCTGGTTGTTAATTCTCTGACAAAATCATCGATATAAGAAAATTGTTAGAAGCGTTTGTAGCAAATTTGAATCCTTTGAATATTTATATTTATATTATGAAATCTTCTTTTCTTAAACTAGTTTGGAATTCTTTACAACTGACAATTTCAAGGCACAACCAGCTGCAAAAATATCAGGTCTAAGATACCAAGCCAGCAATGAGTTTTCACCATTAAAAAGATTAAGAATATTAATCTAGAATCACCATTTCTTCTTTTGCCTGCCAAACAGCTCAAATTAGAGATAAGATAGTTTGGTAATGCTTTTGAACCTAAATTAGATTGAATACACCTAATTGCAAGAACGTTGTCATACGATATTAGAACATTAGTAATTTAGTGAGAAAGGAATACATTAAAAGACAAAAGCCGGGAAAGTTCAGCTTCAGTGATCTTCTTTTGTTTTTTAATGTGATTCCTATCCCACTAAATCACTTCTGTTCTATTTTCGTATGACTACGTTCTTGCAAGTAGGTTTAATTATATATTGTTGTTGTTGTTGTTGTTGTTGTTGTTGTCGTTGTCTTTAAGGAATATATTGAAATTTATAGGTACACCTAAGGTAGTTTTACCTGAGTATTTTACAGCTTTTTACATACTGAACAGTAACACACCGTTGAATAAATAAGTCCCACACCAGTCAAACAACCAGGCATTAATAAAGCTGTGTCAGCTCCTCGTTAATTCTAGAGGACAAAACGACAAGTCAGGAAGTTTGTAATTTGATTGGCTAGAAGTGTACAGCTTTATTTGATAACGAAGTAACAGACAGTCGAATTCAAACAAAAGTATTTTTGTAGTTCATAACTTAATTAACTTTTTGTCGTTTATTTGTATAAAGATTCAGTCATTTATGAAGTTTATTGAAAAAAACAAAGATGAAAAGATTCACATATRTGTGTAACAGTAGAGTTGAAGTTAAGTTTATTTGGCGCATTTTAGATATTTTCCCACGTTGTACATCAATAAAACCCTTTTTTWATTTTTAATTTTTTGTTTTAAAACCAATACGGTCTCATTTGGGATATGACTTAACTTTGGGTTTGCGTAAAACGTAGTTTGGTTGGGATTACGTTTGTCCATCATGTATCTAAAAAGCCACCTGCAAATGTACAGAATCGCAATCGCAAACCTAATCAGTTGAATACCGCCGTATTTGCTTTACATGGCTTACTTTATTGTAAATTCATATTCCTATCTTATTTCATCATTTCAAGATGCCATTATATCTATTTGTTCATACAGCAGAAAAAACTTGCAGAGATATAAAAGATGTATGGCTATGACGTCATTTTTAATTGAACTCATGGTGTTAGCCAATCAGCGCTCGAGAAATTTTATAATTGTGGTAAAATAGTTCATATAGAAGAAAAAGTATACCTGTCATTAGGAGGAACACGACTAAAACCAAGTATATGCGCTTACCAATCATTCCTAAACATCTTAGTTTAAAGATATAATGGTTCTTTAAAATCGTTAAATTTGTTTTTAATATATAACCGTTGCAAGACTTGTGAAGGTAAATTTAATGGGGTCTTACCTATTTACCAAACACGGTTGCTATATGAAAATATGAAAATATATAAATTGATCAATGGGCGCGTCTTGTACAAACGAGTGTGTATTCACCATTTTATTATTTACAACAATCAGTCCACAAAAAGCTAAAATGTGTTCTTTTATTTTATTAAGGTCCATTGTGTAGTAAGTAATGTACGTACTTAGAAACAATACGAGTTGATTAGTAGCCAGATTAATTTGGTTGAATAGCTGAATCTTATAACGCACAACCGAGACTAAGGCTGAGCAAAGAGAACTCGAAACTGGAGTATTATGTTTAAACTTGGCTTCATTAGTCATTTGCATGTAGCGTCAAAGTTATCTCGTGTTCTGGTTACGTCCTTTACGTAATTCCACCATCGATCAACTCTTTTTTACTATTAAAATCAGTAGACCGCGGCACCCAGTCTTTTTTTAGTCACTTACCAGAATCTGTCACGTGATAGCTTTTTTACTTACCACGTGGACACAATTTTCACAACACGTGATATCGTTCCTGCTCAATTGCCGCCGTTTTTTGTTTCACTCTTTAGTTAAACTGAGCACTGAGGAAGATAAATGTCTCAGTTTTCGATGTATCAGCTAAAAATTAAGTTAGATAATGACAGGTATGGTGTCTCTTTTATTGGCCCCGATGAAGTTRWCAAATTTGATTACAGTTCACTGGTTGAGAGAATTCGCGCCCTTTCAAAACGCTACAGTTATCTACAGCCTGAACAGCTCCGAGTGCAATACTGTGACGATGAGAAATGTTTTGTCGATCTCGCTCCAAATAATCCATGTGCTTTTGCGGAAATGTTTAGATGTGCTTCTCCGGTAGAAAACACAGACTTTAAACGAATTACCCTTAGAGATGAAGAAGCTAACTCTCCCGTGTTTAGCCCACCGACGAAAGTTAAGCGACAAGAACAAAGACCACTTTCTAGTCGAAGTTCACGAAGTTTATTTGCTGATCTTCCTCCTTCAGCCAAAGCAGGGCCAGCCACACAATTGTTATCTCAACCGTCCACAAGCTTTACATGTAAACCAGATGCACCGAGTAGCTGTCAACCAGTTACACCAAAGTTGTTTTTCAAGTCTCCCTTGGAGAAATATATTGATAACCTAAAAGAAAACTTGCGAGATGCTAAAGAAAGAGAACGAAGAGTCTCCGAGTGGCTGCAAGAACGCTCTGAAAAGAATAGACAAAGTCAAATTCAACGTGAGGGACCGATGTGTAGCAATTGTCACCGCAGGGAAGGACATAATCGCCTGAATTGCCCATACCAGAAGTGTGATACTTTCTTTCATTGTAGAGAACTGACTAAACACCCTGAAGTAAAATCAGAAGTAAAAGAGGTAGAGCGACAGCAGCGAGACCTGGTCAAAGAGATTTCATCCATTGAAAATGATTTAAAAGTAAAACAGGCAGCTTCTGCTTCAATCAAAGAACGGTATATTTACAAAGTCAGGACTTCTCTCATTGAGAGCGATCCTACCAAATACTTAAACGTCGGTGCCGATGGAACACAGGTGGAGAATTGGTTTCAGTTGAACAAAGATTCCAAAAAACTTGAAAACATTCTTAAAGGCAAAATTCCACCTCCTGGGTTTGATATACAAAAGGCGCTGAATGAAACTGACCCAACTTTGAATCTGTCTGTCCTTCAAAGCGGGAAAACAAGCGTGCGAAATCCATATCGAAGGCTTTGGGAGGATCGAGGTATTAACTGGCCGACTGCTACTAGTACAAGTACTAATACTACTGCGGGATCTGATGATTACCAGCTGGCCCTTGGGATTCAAAGAAGTTTAAATGAATGAACTTTTTGGCATATACTGATGTTGACTATGTTATATGCTGTTGACCGATGATGACTGTAAAATTATACTTACTTTAAATGTTATGTTGATCATAATGAGTTAATACCGTTGACTTTCACTATGGAATATACATACCGAATTCTAGTTGAATTATTTACTGTCATGATATTTTCACGAATTGTTTTGCAAGAAATCTACTATACTGCGACGAACAAAATGCCGCGTCGTGCCATAGTTAATTACAAGCCAAAGTGACCAAGGGTAATTTTGTCCTTTTTAGGGATATTTTGAATTCACCAGCATGCCTGTGACTTAGTTATTGTTAAGTTTTTCTCAAACATTGCGTCAAGAAAGTTGTCATGTAAATAAAATGCAATGATAAAAAACTACGTGCATTTAATCTCCATTCACACATGTTCACACGCATATTTCGAGCAAAGAGTCGACGAGATAAGAAATAAACTGAAAAATGTAATAAAGTACAATTCAAAGTCATTTATTTGCTATTATCTATTAATCAAAATAAGAATATATTTTGATAACAAAGCTCTCACAAGTTTAGAAATCACAGGAAAGCTGAGTGAATAAATTCGTACATGAGACGGGAAATTTGTTTGCATCATAGTTCACATCGCAATGTAGTCAGTGTGTCTATAAAAATTAACACAGTCATTTACACTTACGTATTCTAGCGATTCGTAAATCCCTTCATGAACATTTCGACAAAAATTTGCTTTTATATCGTCCCTTTTAGCTATACATTTCAGTTTATTAAAAAGAAGTTCGCACGGGTTCAGCTCCGGAGAGTAAACTGGTAAATAAACCACATCTACACCTYTTTCTAAAAGCCACTGTGATAACGCATAACCTCCAGCATAGTGGTGAATGGCACAGTTATCAAGGATTATGATGTCCCCGTATTGTAAAATACTTTGTCCGTTCATCATTGAACTCTGGCCTACTTCTCCCCAAAAATTAAGAAACGACGCAGTGTCACTTGCACCGTCCTCAGTATTAGCATACAATACTCCTTCGATTCCCATTAGCAAGTTTAAAGTTACGTTTGGAGAGCTCAGATATCGTCCTACTTCCACACAAGAGGTATTCACTAAGGAAAGGCCGTAGTTTGGTCTACTGGTATCCGGGAGTCTAAATCCAGCTTCATCAAAGCACTTTATTCTGTGTGGGTTAATCGTGTTCATGAAGTTCAAAAAATGTTGACAGTAATCTACATTTTCTGGAATAAATTTTTCAGCTTTTGCTCGGGACAGTCTTTTCCATGTCCAAGTTTCCCCATTATCTAAGTTCCGATTTTAGCATAGGGGAAAGATGGTCTAGATGTCTTTAAAGCTTAAATGAAATCAAGATCTTGTTGTTGTAGCCGAGGGGGATTGTTGCCACCTTTCCGCTTGTTCGCAACATTGTTTCCATAGCTTTTGAACGACCATTCGACTCAAATTGAAGTGTTTAGCAACTTCTGTAAATGATCCTTGAAAATATCCCGTAATTACATCTCCACCTCTTTTAACAATATGATCAATGATACTAGTTCGAAGTTCCATACCTAGCGCTTTTCCCGAAGCATAACTGCGGCCACTCTTCGATTTAATCATGTTTTACGATTAGAAATGAACTGTTGTAGAGGTTAAAATTCTCTGGTTCAAATAAAAAAACGGCGGCAATTGAGCAGGAACGATATCACGTGATGTGAAAATTGTGTCCACGTGGTAAGTAAAAAAGCTATCACGTGACAGATTCTGGTAAGTGACAGAGCGACTAAAAAAAGACTGGGTGCCGCGGTCTACTGATTTTAATAGTATTTTATTTTCTAAAACAAAAACTTTACAGCTTGATAAGCCAACGTCAGTAAGGTCTCTGTTCACTCAACTGTCTGTCTTTTGAACATAATTTAAAACCAACCCAATTGATTTTGCATGCAATAATGTAAAGCTCTGAGCATCAACATCAATTGATATCATGGGTATTTACATGCTGAAGGTACAATGGATTTTGCTTCACCATGATACGACACCCCAGTTGCGCCTTTCCTAAAATCTTTCCAAGCAACAGCCGTACCAGCTTCATTCCCACATTTACCAGCTAACGATGTGATGACATCACGTGGTAACACCGTGTTCCAGATATTAACACGGGAGATAGAGCCACAAAGAGCATCTTTAGCTACAAAACCACCGCCGTATGAATCCTGATCGTTTCCAATGGCAACTATACCGTTAGCTTGGATTACGTTGTTTGTTGCTACACTGA